AATATTTAAAATTGAAATAAATCCATCAATGCTTAAAGCAAAATCCATCCACACTCCATAATAGTTTGCCGGGGTGGATAAATTAAAAACTACTTCAGCTCACAAAGAGTCAAATGCCTAGTCGAAAATATCACAATGATTCATTCTCAAACCAATCTCCTGCCAGTAAGGACATGGTACGTGTCCTCTAACCGGCGGTTTGCCGGCAAATGGCACCGCAGGATAAATCCATGATGGCCCGGGACGACGGAACCATGGGATCTTGATCGGGCCCATCATCCACTCCCCCACTATCCGCTTTAAGTGAAAGATGGTACAATTTCTATTTAAATATCAAATCTTCCAATACAAATACCCAAATCCAAACTCAATTCCCATATCCAAACCCATGGTGCTACTATATGCCAGATAACACGTATTTTATACGTATCTGATTGAAGACTAGCCTTAATCGAAAGTTCTCTCTCGTGATCGGGAGGGATAATTAACTATAGGGGCTTGCGCCTATTGGAAACCAGAACTCAGATCATAAAGTCCTCGCAAAATGAGGGCGAAATCTCTGGGTAGTGTCTTATCTACAAACCCATCTGCCTTCCAAAATTTACCCCAGAACTTATTCGTTAAAACTCCCTCGCTCAAGCAAAAGCGAACAATCAATGCGCGGCAGGGAGGTTGGGGCCGAATTTTTGGAGCCCACACTGGTGTTTGTGGACACTAGAATTATTTTCTTCTTAAGTACAGGACTAAAAAGAAACTTTGGAACACCAGGAAGTTTAGTTCTAATTTATTCAAACATCTCTTTCCTTCTGCCAGGGGGTGGTCCCTTTTCGTACATCGAGTTATCTTCTTACCCGACATATTTTGCAGCATCTCAATCACTGCTGTCGTAGGTGATATCTATATTTGTGTCCACAATGGTTCATTATACATACAATATATCCACTGTTGTTATCCACAAGCAGCTTGTATGTATTCGCAGGGGACCGCTGTATCCACTACAACCTCCTGGAAGTGTTTGTAGAAGACCCATTGTTCCTACATCATATCCACCTTTCACCAATCTCAGGCGGTTTGGTTGATTGCACTTGTTTATGGGGACGGATCTTTCACTATCAAGTAGAAGTGTTGCCTTCTTCAATCAACATGCAATGTTTCTAGCGTTGGAGGTTTCAATAATGCGTGTAGAGAACACCATGCATTCTGTAATCATTTGTTGTCCTTGTAAGCATGTTGCTTTTAACCTCATAGGACTATTGTAGGAGTTCGTTGCACCTGCTCATACATGTTTGTTAGTAGCTTGTTGAATTTATGGCGTATGAATTTCAATAACTTATAGGAGGTCGATGTGTCTATAAGCAGATTGTTATTGACTATCGGGTTGATTGCACTCATCATTGACTTCTTCACATACATTAGCCGCCCACTTGCCACATTCACTTGTGTGTTAATTTCCTTATGCTTATAAGGGACCGATGTGTTTTCTTGCATGCCAAATCCCTCCACTTGCATAGGGAGTGTCACAACTATTTGATGATATACATTTGATTGATTGAAGCTATAACTTGATTTTAGTATTTTCAAAAATGTATTTAATGATCCTGAAGCTTGACTATTGATCATTCAGAGGTCCATGTCATTCTACACTTTGTTTAGATCCAATATCCAAATCCAGATTTGAATATAGTTCAAGTTCAATCCAGTATGCATATTCAAATTGTAGATTGGGTTTGAGTAGAAGTTCAGGTGTCCTGAAGCCTCTGGAGATTCAAGCCTCTTGTGGTCCGGTTGAGCTCAGATTCTTAATTGTTCATGTCAAGTTCAAGTATGAGTTCAGAGTCTTCTGAAGTTCTTGCAGGTTCAATTTCATATTCGTATTGACTTGAGTTTGGTTCCAGTTTGATTTTATTTTGTATGGGTTTGATCTTTTATTAATTATTTGAGTTTTGTTCAGGTTCAAGTCCACGAGTCATTGTTCATTTGAGTCCATATCTCGTCATTTTTAATTCAAACAAGTCCGAGTACGGTCGTATGTTCACCTGAAATTTCGATAGCCTCCCGACGTCTCCCCCGTTTAGGGGAAAACTACGAGAAACTGGGCCTTCCCACCACTCGCAATAAAGGTGTGTATGGTAGGTGTCCTCAAACGAGGACACCGAGACCGTGCTCTTTCCTCCCACCATGCGCAATAAAGGCGTGTATGGGATCTTCGGTACCTATTTAAAAATGCAGTTTGCTTTCCCCTCGCTTGAGGGTACTTATGAGTAACCCCGCCTCGCCGTAGGCGTCGCACCAAGGTCCCATCCCACCACGCACAATAAAGGAATGTATAGGCGGTTTTCCGGTGCGCCACGAACGCAGAAGTAGAGTTTAGGTGATTGCTCGCCTCGTCGTAGGCGTCGGACTAGGGTCCCATCCCACCACGCGCAATAAAGGCGTGTATAGGCAGTTTTTCGGTCTGCCGTATACAACAAAAGCGAGAATTTGAGTTTAGAAAATTCGTACCTTCGTGGGTTGGCAGTGGACTCATGGATTGAGTTAGAAGGAGAGCAAGCATTTTTTTATTTTTATTAATTATAATTAGCATTCCCTTTGTTAGGCAGATTTGCAGGATTTTGGCCGAGAAAGCGCTCGACAGGGAGAAAGTTACCTTCACGACCAATAAGCTCCCGTCCTTGCTTCCGATCCCATAGGAAGGGAATGTCATCGAATCGAGCAGAGTCGAACAGCTAAAGGGGCTGAAGAGGTGGTGGAAGGGAAAAAGTTGCCTTCAAAACGAGCGAGCTCCAGTTGTTGCTCCCGACCGAAATGTTGTAACTTCCGAACCAATTGGAAGGAAAAGTCGTCGAAGGGGCACGGTCGAACTTCAACGAAGGAGCCAGAGAGGGATATGGGAGGAAGAAAGTTCCCTTCACAGCGAGCGGGCGCCTATCGTGGCTTCCGACCTAGATGCCGGAACTTCCGATTTGCAAAGAAAGGTAAGCCGTCGAACTAGCAAAGTCGAGCAGCGATGTAGGAGCCGGAGGAGTGACACGAACGAAAGGAAATTACCTTCCGAACCAGCGAGCTCGTGTTGTCGCTTCCGATCAAACTGCCTTAACTTCCGATCCGGCGGGAATGGGAAGTCGTCGCTGGGGCGAGGTGTTCGACATAGAGATGGAAGAGGAGAGAGCGTACGAGAGAGGGAGAGCGAGCGAGCGCGAGGAAGAGAGAGCGAGGGAAAGCCAGCAAGAGTTGGAGAGGAGCCCGAAGGCTTTGTTCTCGCAGCTTTTTAACAATACGAGGTCGTGCGAACGACGTGGGAGTAGCGTCGTAGATGTGTCCGCGACGTGCGAAGGGTGGCTACGACGTGCGATGTGCATGGCTCGGGTATGGGATTTATTTTATCTTCTTTTTTTAACCGTAGAGGTCAACAATATAGTGTGTAAATATTAATGTAACATCATATTAAAAATAACAAACAATAATAAATGAATGACATGATAATTTGTCTAGCTTATAATATAAAATATTTAGTACAAAACTTCTAGTACAACCACAAAAACATAAGCAAATAGCCACTTACTACAACATCATGCATTCAAGCTTCAACTACTAGGATTAGCTTCAGAGGTTTGTTTTTGGCCTTCAATACCATTTTTATTGAATATCATTGCTTCCAATTCTGATTCATCAAGAGAAAGATTTGCAATAATTCATTGGATATCATATAATCAAAGTTGGTTCTTCTTTGTATATGTTTACTTCTCTAATTTGCTAGATCTCTCCCATAATATTTCTTTATCATCTAATCTAAATCACAAAGAATGTATTTATTTACTTCTATACTTCTCTACTTATCTAGTCCTCTCTCATAATAATTCATTGGATATCATATATTTATAATTAAAATAATTGTATCATAAAAAATAGAACACGCGTGTCTCAGGCGTGTCCGACATGTGTCTCAGCCGTGTCCGAAACGTGTCCCAGCTGTGCAGATTAAATTTAAACATTATTTAAATTGGACACATGTCTCCCGTGTCCGACATGTGTCCCTGCCGTGTCGGACACGTGTCCGTGTCCGACACTGCATTCTCTCTTCAAGAGGTGTGTCGGAGCAACATAGATGGCAGTATTAACTTATCTTACAACTAATACAATCAACACTGTAAATTACCATCACTTGTCCACTATTGTATATCCTCTAATGATCACCACCTTCCATCTTCTAATGGCCATGACTGCCAAACCTTTGCTGTCCTCCATTACTCATTCTCAAACATTACAGCCTATCATAGCCACTATTAACATTGACAATCGTTGTCATCCACCTTACACTCATCAGTGACATCGCCTTACAACATTCTTTTCCATTATCACACCAAAAAACCCCCAAAATTCACCTTTTGTAATCCCATCTACTCCAACAAAAAAGAAGACTGCACCACTGCAATCTTCAACCAACAAAGTTGAATTGTTTCAACTAGGCTTTGTAAAATGAACATAAGGAAACCAATTTCCCATGTGTGTCATGGATTATTCATTTGTGTGTAAGGTATTTTTCTGCAGCGTTAGGATAGCAAACTCTTCCTATCGCCATGAATATTCTAGAATGCAACAAGAACAATGCCAATAAAAGGGTAGATCATTTAGTTTGTCACATCCAACATAGCATTATTTTATTTCGCACTAAAATTAAAAATTATTCAAGGATGTTAGCTTTAATTCATGAATGCATGAACAAAAAAAACCAACAATCTTAAAGGAACATGAATGCAAGTATGAATTTCAAATAAGAAAACAATTAAAAAAAAGTTGCAGCTTTTATGTCCAATAAAAGTAGATAATTGAAAAATATGAAAGAGAATTCTTTATTTTAAATGGTTGAAAAGAAATTGTTTTAATTGTCATTATAAGTTTCACTTGCTATGTTGCAAACATTATCCCATATATTTGCTTTATTATACTGCATGCAGGCATCATCAGCTGGCATGTGGAAGCAAGGAGAAGAAAGCACATACCAATCAGGTAAGCGAAAGAAAGTCTGAAAAAATATTCTAATTCCGTCGATATCAAGCTGCAATATTAAAGCTAATCCAAAAAGAAAGAATGCTCTTTGCCGTTTCCTTTCTTGTGGCCAAAGAGTTCTCCATGCTGAAATATGTCATGAGAACAAAAAACATCTTATAGATAGGCAGATAGCACAGTTGCATGAATGATAAATTTATAATCTACCGACGTGCTGTTGAAAGCAACGATTGAATAAATAGAATTTCAAACCTAGAGCAGAAGGATTATAAACATTTCCTTTGATTTTAATTTGTCTGGAATAAGCATTTCTCTTCAATATATTTGTAATCACTGAAGCATACTTTGGAGCCTCAGACAGGGAGCGGACAATTGAATATCCTGTTTATTAAGAAAAAAAATAATGTTTTTCTTGAGATAAATAAATGTTTTACTTCTTTTGGTAAAGATTTGCATAAAATAGCATTAAGACCTCATTTATCAATCAACATGAATGAAATGGAGGCTAATTCCCTTAATGGTTAAGATAACGCTATCATAATAATAATGATTGCATGTTTCAATAGTATGGTTCTCGAACCTGTGGCTGGATGCACCATGCTGGCTGCAGCACCAAATGCAAGGTTCTTCTGTTCTGTGCTTGGCAAGGATCCACCAACAGGTATATAAGACCATTCCTAAAAATCAAACTGAGATATTTAAATACCATCAAAAATCCTGGCATCATCATCATCAACAAAAATAACTACTTAACATAGTCAATAACAAAGCTCGGGTCCATGATACAAGAAAATTGGACATATAATACAAATCTTATAAGTAGTACTGATTGTAACTGTGCTGCAGATTTGTGGTGAACATTTATGAAATGTAAGGATGCTGGAACAAGGAACTATCTCTACAGTGTTTTGGTTCTCAACAGTTTAGTTCAAATAAATGTTTAATTGGATGATGAAATAGTGAAAAACAAAAAGAAATATAATCTAGCCAAATTATGCATCCAAACTATCCTTAAAATACTTCGTTCCTCCAATAGCTAGTAAGAGGCCATTTTATGAGTCATTGGAGGTTGAGCAACAAATTCTTCCCTACTCCCTTAAAGAAATTAGGAGAAATGGAAAGGGTAATACAAATTGGACAGCGAAATAGTAATAAAATTAGCAGTTTTTGGGGCTTAAATAGCTTCGTTTGTCATTTCAAAATGATCCCTTGGGCATGCAATGCAACCCTACAACTCTACATGAGATTTCTAGATAAATGTAACTCAAGATGAGATCTCTTGAAAAATTATCAAAGGGTCACATTCCACAACTAAGATTGACTTTTGGTATGCTCATGATTCTTTGTAAACTCCATACTTACATGATCTATTTTCAATGCATTAATAAATATAACTTGAAACATAGAATTATAACACACATAATTTTATGCAACCATAAGTTAAATAAGTTTTAAGAGAAATTAAAAAAAAAAAAAAGTTTTAAGAGAAATGGACCAAAATAATCCGTTAACTCTTTATGAAGGACAAAATTGATTCTAAACTATATTAAAAGATCATTTTGGTCATTTCAACTCTTTTAAAAAGAATCAAAATAGTCCAACCATTAAAAATTAACAGTGAAAAATAATATAAATGATTACATTACATTGAGGTAGGGTATATCAGGAATAACAAAAAATTCGTGTGAGTAGTAAAATTGTCAAAACCAACCGAGAGGGAGACGAAATAGAAAGTGAATGAATTCTCATATCGCAAGCATCAAACCCCCAGCCAATCGCAACCTCCACAACATTTTCTCTACCACCTTTTTTGGTGCTTCTTCGTCTTGTTGCATACGAACATATATGTGGCTTGCGGAGGAAATTTTTTCTTTTTGGTATCCTCACTTGCTAACCTAGGGACGATCTCCCAGTAGCATCGAATCCCAGCAATGAACCCCAAGAAGCATCAAACCCCCAACGACAAACACCAAACAACATCGACCCAGTGTTGAACACAATAGTCCAGCATTCCTCACACCGTATCCACGAAGGCGATATTCAATTCTTCCAATGAAGTCGACAACTTTTGGCTCAATGAAATGGTCCTTTAAGTTGATATTTCTGAGAGGTGTCATTGATATATCCATTTTTTAGTATACTTGATTTGGGTTTTGCATGAGATATGTAGAGATATATATATCTATGAGCAGTGCAATTTTATTGGAATCATTTTGTTAAAATTACACTATGCTAGAATTATATTTTGCTAGAATGTATTTGTTGAAATTATTTTAGTTGAATTTCATTTAGCTAGAATTTGAGTTCAATTGAAATGTAATTTGCAAAAATTATTTTAGATATGATGTTTGTTGCAACTCATTATTCTTTAATCATGTTCGCTAAATTAAATTAATTTGATATTTTACATGATGAATTTAATCTCTTTGAGTTTATGTTTGAAGAATTTGATTCCATTTGGGCCCTTTTGGTGCTTGAGTTCATCATGTCGAGCATATGTTTTTTGAGATTAGTTTCCTTTGAGCTTGACATTTTTAGAAATTGGTTTGGTTTGGCTTTATATTTGCTAAATTTACTTTTTTTTTTAAGGTTATACACGTGTCAAAATTAATTTCTTTGAGTTCATCTTGTGGAAGATAATTCCATTTAGACCTCACACATGCTAGATATAATTTCTTTTGAGATTTGTATGGGATTCAATTTCTTCTAATAAGCATCATGCTTATGCAAATTTTACAATAGGAACAAAACAAAATGTCGCGGAAATATTTTTTAATAATCAAGGAGAATCAACAAAGAATGGCTTGAAGGTTTAAACTTCTTTCAATTATTTGGTGGTTTAACCGAGATAATTGAAGTAAATATAGATATGGATGAAAAGGGTTATAACAGATATTTAGAGGTAGAACAAAGTAATAGTGATGACAATGATGATGCACACTATGTCTGTGTTAATTCAGATGAGTGTGAAGATTTTCATGGTAGCAACAATGAGATGAAAAAAGATTTGGTTGAGGATAATGTAGATGATTTGACTGAATATGCATGACCTCAGGTTAAAAGGAAGTAAAACATTCAATCAATTGAAGAATTTTCTACTACAACTTTGAAGGGGAAAGATTGTGATAGTGATTGTGTGAACTCAAGTGATGATACTAGCATATATACTGATGAGGAAGATGAAATTTGGAAATGAATAGCCTTAAATCTTAGGATAGATTCATCATGTCGCTATTTTGAAATTAGCATGCTTTTTAGTAGTGACTTAGTTTCAAAACCGTTAGTGAAGTGTCGGGAGATGCGTACAGTTTCGGCACTTGAAGAAGAAGGCCATTTCTAAAGCAGGCCATGGAAGAGAAAGACTTCATCTATGCACAAAAGGCATTCGATTAGATAGAAGACTTTCAATGATGCTGGTCAATCTTTCCGGCAAAAGCCCTCTTATGATAAAACACTAAAGCAAGAATAGAATGAGGGAAGGCGGTTGGTTAAGAATTGGTCAATTTTGACGGGAAAAATAATTAAATTTGTAAGGAATTATAAAAAGATGAAAGGTCATTTGCAGAAGGCCAATATGCCATTTTTGTCATATACATCTCAAAACATGAAAACAACAATTCATGGCAGATTAGAACTTTATAAGAGATACTTATATATGAAATTATCACACTAAGACTTTGAACACTGAACTCATTGCAAAGAGATATGTGAATAAGATCAAAGTCAATCCCTAGACAAAGTGTAATGTATTTAGAATGAAAGTGATAAATAAGTTGAAGTTGCATGTATCAAAAGTTCAAGATAAAAAGGCTTTAAAAAACATTCATCAGTTGATCCATATATAACAACAACAACATCAAAACTTTGTCCCACTACATGGGGTCATCTACATGAATCCTTTTTTGCCCATTGTGCCCAATTAAAAGTCAATTTCTCATTTAAATCTAATAGAAAAATGTCATTTATAATATTTTCTAACCAAGTCCTTTGAGGTCTACCTCTACCTTTCTTAACATAAATCAAATATAATAACTCAACTTTAATAACCGGGTCATTGGAAGTCCTCCGTTTAATGTGACCAAACCATCTAAGGCAACTCTCTCTAATCTTATCTTCCATTGGAGCTACTCCAACCTTTTCATGTATATGCTCATTTCGTATCCTATCTCTAAGGGTAAATCCACTCATCCACCTAAGCATCCACATCTCTGCAACACTTAACTTAGTATTATGCTTCTCTTTTAATGGCCACCATTCGACACCATAAAGCATTGCAGGTCTCACCACCATCTTATAAAATTTTCCCTTAAGTTTGAGGGGGACTTTTCTATCGCACAACAAGCCTGATGCATTCCTCCACTTCAACCATTCAACTTGAATTCTGCTGATAATATCCCCATATATTTAAGCATCACTCTGAACAATAGATCCAAGATATCTAATACGTGTACTCTTATTAATGACTTGATCACCCAAAGTCATAATCCCCTCACTAGTTCTATTGCTACTAAAATTACACTCCATATATTCAATTTTAGATCTACTCAAGAAAAAACCTTTAGACTCTAAGGTTGACCTCCATAAGTCAAGTTTACCTTCAACTCCCTCTTTAATACGAAAGGTAAAGGTAAACTTATTTTAAGAAAGGCAAAGGTACACCTAAAAAGACTTGCTTATAAAATATTAGTAATGATCTTTCTTTATTAGATTTAAACGAGAATTTGACTTTTAATAGAACACAAGGAAGAAAAAGGATTCATGTAGCCGAAGTCACGTATTGGGATATAGGCTTGAAGTTTTTTGTTGTTGTATATATTACTGTATATTGTCACTAATTTTTCTTGTGATTAATTTTTATTAATAGGAAAAGCACGCGTGAAGGAAAAAACATCACAAATGTGTTCAGCTCCTCTAAATGGCGCACTCTCTAGTCAGCCATCAGCTCAGCAATGTAATTTCACAGGCATCTCCAAATGCTTTACAGAGGAATTCATAAATGGCGCACCCTCAAGTCAGTCATCAGCTCAATAGTATAATTTCACATGCATCTCCAAATGCTTTATAGAGGAATTCATAAACGACGCGCCCTCCAGTCTTCCATCCGCTCAACAATATAATTTCACAGGCATGTCCGAATGCTTACAGAGGAATTCAAAAAGGTGCACCCTCTAGTCAGCCATCAGTTCAACAGTATAATTTTACAAGCATCTCCGAATGCTTTACACAGAAATTCATACATGGCGCACCCTCCAATCAGCCATCAGCTCAGCAGTCTGATTTCACAGGCATGCCCGAATGATTTACAAAGGAATTCATGAATCGCAACTTAACTCGCAGGTCCACTAGAGTGCAACCAGCAAAGTTCATGAATATGATGATGGATATCATTGAATAAGAGCAATAATTCTATAAATGTATATTATTGTGACTATGCACTTTTGAAATAATTGTTTAAATGTATTAAGTTTATTTGTAAATAATAATGATTCTCAGTAATTTGTGAGTATGTTATGTGTAATTTCTGCGTATCTTGTGCTTATAAAATGTGTAACATATGCGTAATTTATGTGTATGCTATGCGTATAACCTGTGTAATTTATGCGTATGTTATGTGTAATCGTTGTGTATTTTGTGCGTTTTTAATAAAAAAATTTTAAAAAAGTCCAAATTCTATATA